CTGGGGATTGAACTCAGGGGTACTTGACCCCTGAGCCACCTCCTCAGCCCTATTTTGTATTTTATTTAGAGACAGGGTCTCACTGAGTTGCTTAGTCCCTTGCTTTTGCCAAGGCTGGCTTTGACCTTTCTGTCTCGGCCTCYGGAGCACTGCCCCTGGCCTTATCTTGTATTTTTTAAGAACACAATAGGAAACAAGTAAAAGCTCCTTTCTTGTATTGGGTAATGATCTCAGGTGTTTGTGAGCTGAGATGGGAGCTTCCTGCACAGCACCTGATTTGTTTGCATTACCCCCTGGAACAGCTTCACACCCAACTTGAGATCCCTGTTGGGACATGATTACAAATAGTATGTAGACCTGGTGCTKTGGAATGAGTTTCATTTTCTTAATTTGGGATTAGGAGCAAATTAATGAAAGATTACAGATTAAATTGCATTTGGTGATCATTTGCCATATTTGGGTTATAATCTGAACTTCAATCATGTTTATAGATTTGGGATGAGTTCTTGATTGATTTTGCTGGAACTTGTTTTTAATGTACCATGGTTTGTTTCCAAATAGTTATTTTAGTGACCAGATTTTACTGGTTTCAGTAATGACTAAAATTCCCAACTTGCTTACACCTCTGGTTTGGGAAGTGATCGTTGTGTAGCTTTGACTTGGTAAACTACTTCCCATAACCTGCTGTCTTCTTCTGTGTGTGTGGTACTCCCTGGGGCCTGCCTGGGTAGAAGCTATAAACAATGGAAGCTTTCCTTTGGTTGTTGAATAGAGAAAGCCTATCATGAAAGGAGCTCCTGGGCTGTCACGGCTGTGTTCTTTGTGAATAACATCTCTGGTGCACAGGAATGCCGCATCTGGGTGTGGCACAAAGGTGCTATTTAATATTCTGCCTATACCAGGTAAAAGCYTCAGACAAACCAGGAGAGCCTTTTGATATATGTTGCTTAAGAGATAAATTTTTTGGAATTAGACATGCTACCTTCTTAAAGCTAGGATCATAAACATGAGATTTTAACTCCTAGAAGACCTGTTGAAGTTGTCTGGCCTACCATTCCATTGTGAAGAAGCCAACACCCAGAGAAGGATATTAATTTGACTAGTGTCAGTAGTTGGAATCCCAGTCCATTGTGTTCATACCAAGCTGTTGCTTCCTGTTTTTATTATCCCAGAAATCATGACGCAGACCAGCGCTTTCTCTATCGGAAGTTTTGGCAATGATCATTTTCTTTTTATAATTTATTTTGGAATTTTGATTGATAAACTAGCTGACCCCCCCCCTTTTTTTCTTTTATAAATAGGCTGTACAAGTGCAGGTCCTCACTTTAATCCTCAATCCAAAAAACATGGTGGGCCATCAGATGAAGAAAGGTGAGCTGCAAGATGCTGAGCTCCTCTGAAGTAATTGTGATGTTTTGTGGCGTTGATAGTGTGTACCGCTTGCAAAACCAAGCAAGATGATTGAGTGTTGTCCCCTGTGCTTTTGAATTTGTTGTCTTCCACATAGCTTCCCCACCCCTTATGCTGAAATGGCATATTACTTGGGAACACTTAAAACAATTAGGTTTTGTAGCATTTATTGAATATAGAACTAATACAAGTTCCAAAGGGAACTAATACAGGAAATGTCAAGAATAACAGTATTGTTGGCCACTGGAAAAGGAAAGCATCAGTGTCTACCTAGGAAGCTTCTGTAGATAAAAATGTCATGCTGGAAATTAGCTGAGACCCCCATTTGTATGTGTGTGTCTTCTGAAGACCTTTCAGAATATTAAGTTTAAGGACAAGATTATTTTTATAACAGAAGGCCTAGGGGCCTAGCTTTCTTAATTGTTCCATTAACTGAGAAGGATAATTCAGTAGCTGAGTTTACTATGTGGTACTTTATCTCTGAAATCATTAACTGAGAAGGATAATTCAGTAGCTGAGTTTACTATGTGGTACTTTATCTCTGAAATTAGAGGTTGCCCCCATCCCAGGACTCCTTCTCAGCTTGTTTTTAAATTTATGTTTTCAGAATTTTGTCAATCTGGAAAAGTGATCTTTTTTGATACATACCTCTTAGTCTGCCTTATTTGACTCAGTCATGTTTTAATTTAGTACATGAATCCTCTGATGTTAAGTGAAAATCAGTGCTAATCCATCTGATAATTTTTCAATGCCAGGCACGTCGGAGACCTGGGCAATGTGATTGCTGACAAAGATGGTGTGGCCAATGTGTCCATTGAAGATTCTCTGATCTCACTTTCAGGAGAGCATTCCATCATTGGCCGCACAATGGTGGTAAGTTTTCATATAAAAAGGATATGCATAGGATTTTTTCTAACATATAGTCATGTATCTTTTCACCATTTTCTCAGTGGTTAGTCTTGGTTTTTAAAAATTCACATAAATTGTACTTTTAGTTCAGATTAGGAAAAGTATTTTATTCAATGTCTACAGTGAAGATGAATTAATATATCTAGGTCAGTTAAGAACACTGTTCTGCTAAGGTGCAGTAAAAAGCAGGTTGTATTTGGCCRTATCAGATCAAATTGGGGAGATAGTAGTTTTTAGTTTTAAAGCAGCCAAATTTTATTGCCATGATTGTTTCCCCTTGTAGGTAAATAGAGTATTTTGTTGAATCTAAAATCTGGGATGGACTTGAGTATTCATAATGAGTCAAACGTGTGTAGGCTGCCATATGGAGCGGTCCTCCCAAGTTACCCTGGAAGCTGCATCTGCTTCATGCACACCACCTGGTAGGAAAGGCTCTCTTGCCCCGTCAGGGCAGTTAACATTCAGTAGGCACTTCCTTTCAGTGGACCCTTTATCCTTAGAATTTTCTTCAGCCCTATTGGTGAAGCAGAAAAATCATTTAATGTACAAAATTTAAAATACCATTGCTAAATAGTTTTAGGATTCTTTCTTATTTATAGGTCTACAGTTCATTAGGCATGAAATTTTTGGTAGGTTTACTATAACTAAGGTTACTGTTTTTTTATGGAGAATGAAGACCATGTGGCATTTGGGTTTTCAGTATTTCTGAAATAGCAACACTTACCTAGTGTTTAAAGGTAACTTGTCTTTGCACCAACAAGAAAAAACTTTTTAGTAGTTTCTACTTTGAAACTCCTAGCATAAATGTTAGTTTTTGTGGTTTTTTTTTTGATAGTTGGATTATTTTAACATGTTGTTTTCTAATATTAAATGATTTTTAGAAGTCTTTTAGAGCATTGTTGGGAAGAGATTCTATATTACTTGATAGCCCAAAGTTAAATGTTCTTAAATTTTTTTAAAGGTCCATGAAAAACCAGATGACTTGGGCAAAGGTGGAAATGAAGAAAGTACAAAGACAGGAAATGCTGGAAGTCGTCTGGCTTGTGGTGTAATTGGGATCTCGCAGTAAACATTCCCTTCCATGTTGTCTGAGTCCCAGTAACTCATCTGTTATCCTGCTAGCTGTAGAAATTTAACTTGATAAACATTAAACATTGTAATCTTAAAAGTGTAATTGTGTGACTTCTTTTTAATTGCTTTAAGTGTTGTAATGAGAATGATTTACGATTACTTGGAAATRTTGTATAGTTTTATAAAATTCATTCAATTAAAATGTTTTAACAATCTCCATATTTTACCACTTATCACATGTGGGTATTAAACTCACTGAGTCTCTTCAATTCTCRTTCAAGCTTGTGAATAAACACCCTATGTAAGGATGACATTTATTTTGAGCCTATTAAAGTATCCAAATCAAAATTCTAAATTAAGCTCTGATAGATACTCTTCTATACATAGAACATGAATTGAACAGATGTAGTAATACTAAAGATTTCATAGCACTTTCAAAACGTTTTGAGAGGGCATCAAAATCTAAAAATTTTAGCAGCTCTCTCTTTAGCTATGGCAACCCAAATTTGTCCTTTGTCAGCTYTAGGGGAATTTCCCTGCTTAGTGACTTAGCATTTTGATTCATAAATTACTTAAGTTTATTTTCAAAAGCATGTAGTATGGTTTAAGAAAGCCCTTTCATAATTTTTAGTGACTTGTAAAAGGCTAATTACACCTAGTTAGCTAAGATTAATTGACCTGTCAGAATGATTTAACTTTACAAAGTGGAAGTTGGCACAATCTGTTTTCTTCAGATTGGCCCTCTCATGATACTACAGTACTAGCAGGTAGAACCAGGGAAATATTTTTTCTGGCTGTTAAAACAGTCTTTAAGAATTTACTTAATTTACCCAAGTTGCAATTGAGTGAATTAGAGAAATCAGTTCTCTTCCTTTGATGTAAATATGTATGTACCTGTGAAAGAATGTGTTTATCTAAGGTTCGTGACTATCTGGATGACAGTTAAAAGAATTGTATAAAGATTTCTGATAGGATTGTAGTTTATTCCTGGTTTCTCTACCATAAATATGTACTTTATGAAATGTAAGAGGTCATTTAGAACAGCTAAATTTGAAAAAGATACTGTTCCCAAAGTTCAGATTTGAGATAAAGAATATGCTCATTAAGTGGTTAGATGGCCTTCAGATAAGAGAATTTTAAACAGTATTTCCAGATTTTGTTAATGTAGTTTGTTGCTCCTGTGGGATGACTCAGATACAGGGACAGTGCAGTCATACTACAAAAGTCAAGTGTTTTTGCTTTTGTTTTCAYGTTCAAATGGGGTGGTGTCTAAAATACTTTGAACTGGAAGTAGAAGCTTAAACTGGAATCAGGAACACCGAAGTCCTTGAAATCTGGAAGGAGTTTCAGTTAGTGCTTCAAAACTTCCTAAGTTGGAGCAACACAAAACTAAAGAAAAGTTTTGTAATTGAAGTTTACAGATATGAAATGGACTTTTCTAAAGGCAGGGGCAGAAGGCTGTCCTAAATACATGATCCTCGTCAATACAGATCTTATTGAGAAGTAGTAAAATAATGTAGTTTCACTGAGGATGCAGATAAACAAAGTCACCTACTCAGCACTAGGAAACTAGGACAGTATAAGAATTTAGGAGGACTGGGTAAGCAGTTTCATGTTTCTGCTTTTCTGTACTGCTTCTTATGAAGGCTTGTTTTGGTTTCAAATATTTTCAAGTGATACTTCTTGAATAACTTAAATTCATTTTCCCAGTTAGCCCAACAGTTATAGGCAAAAGAGATAAAACACTTTATGTGGCAAAAAATTCAGCCTACCTCTGAGCAACAGGGAAATTAAAACAGTAAAGAAAGGCAACAGGCAAGGCTTATAAGAAACAATAGGTTGCATTTAAGTCCTTATATAAAATAAGACAAAAGCTTTCAGGATGCAAATGTTAACCTTGATTTCATTTTACCTTTTTGGAAAAAATGGGATGATTAAAAAAAAAAACCTAAGTAATATCCAAGGTAAACATAATTTTATGGTACAATTTTATGATTTGGGAATGAATTTCTCTCCAAATAAAATGTTTTTACAAATTAATTAGGACATTACCACAAAGCCAATGGAAAAAAAACAAAAACCTTGATTGAACTGCAAACACTAACAAGCTTTTCAAATAACAAACTGCTAAACTTATGATTAAAATGCTAAAAATCAAAAAAATTACAAATGATAGTGTTTGAGAGTAACTACATAAAATTGTATTTCCATCAAACAAGTCTAATTTAGACTCCAATACATAAGAGCTCAAACTTTGATGGTGAACAATCCTTTTCTACCTTAATGCAGTGTAGGAAGAATAGCACACATTAAAGTTTGTTACGAAAATAGAGTTTATTAAAAACATCCCTATTGTTTTGAGGAGCTTTCACCGTTACCTTGTCTTAAATTAAAAAAAAAAAAAAATAGAGAGCACTTCTAATTACGATTTGTAAACTTTTTAAAGTCAAAACTTTTAAAAAGTTACAGCAAAAAGGGTAATATTTATTCATATCTTCAGTATTTTTTGTTATTTTGTGGCTATTTTTAAATAGAAGGGAAGCAATCAAATTGCTTTACAATTCCCCACCAACTACTGCGGGGCTGTGATATAGCAGGAGCAAATATAATACAGCATCTGTACACCTCAAGCTCTACACTCCAGAAGTGTCACTGTCACATTGGGACAAATTCCAGTCTCTAACGAGGAGCCTCTGCTGCTGAGCCAGAATCCTTTTCGGGTTCAACGGATGAGGTAGCCTCAGCAGGTAACTCTTCGGAAGGTTTCACCACTGTGGCCTCGGCCTCCCCCTTAGCAAGTTCTGAAACAGTGTCTACATTTCCAACTTGGCTAATGGGAGGTTCAACGGTTTTGTTACCACCTGCCCTGTCTGTCACCTCAGGCTTTTCCTTTCCTCGGTTTTCTTCCTTCTCTCTACGAGACTCTCTATCTCTAGAATCTCTCTCTCTGTCTCGATGCCCACTAGAGCGTCTATTTCTCTCTTCCAAGTCTCTGTGCCTGTCCCGGTCAGGGCTCCTTCTTCCCCACTCTCTCCTTTCACGATTACTATTATCTCTATCATCATTACGGTTCCCATACCGTTCCCGGTCATTTTCCACCCTATTTCCGAAAGATCTTCTTCCAAACCTTTCTTGGTCTCTACCTGAATTGAACTGCTGCCTGCTATCATTTCTAAACTGCTGTGGCTGCTGCTGGGCTGGTGGTGGCTGCTGTGATGGTGGTGGCTGCTGCGGCTGTGGCTGTGGTGGAGGTGGCTGCTGTGGCTGTGGCTGCGATTGTTGCTGCCTTCCATCTCTGTCTTCGGGACCCCCTGGGCCTGGCCCAGGGCCCCCCAACCCTGGCATTCCACCAGGCCTAACAAAAGGGCCATGTGGTGGGAAGGGCCCTTTCATTCCATGCGGTGGAGGCATTGCAAAGCCCCCTGGTCCTGGTGGTGGACCTCTGTGCATCATGTGCGGTGGCATGGGGCGGGGTGGCATCAGAGGGAATCTCTGTAAATGAGGTGGAGGCATTCCTGGAGGGCGCTGGAGTGGGATGAGGCCAGGTCGTGCACCCAGAAGACCAGTAGATGGTGCCTGGAGCCCGATTACAGGACCAGGAGTGACTCCTTGAGTGCCTAAAACACAACAAAAATAAAAAATGTAAATGCCACAGAAGACAGCCTTCTAATTTTAGCTGTTATCTGTGCAGTTAAAGGCAAAATGAAATTCAATCTAGAATCTTAATTTTCATGCTATGTATCARTCTGTACCAATGCATCCCACATCCACTGTGAGGGTCCAGTACCTAAAGCAAGGAATCTATTAATGACTCATTTTGTAAGTAACTAGTATATAGACGGAGGCAAAAGTAAACTGGAAAAGAAAACAAATACACCAATTTTTGAAGAGTAGGTCAAAATCTTCGGCAGGCTTCAGTAGAAGCTGTTTCACCACTCCAAATACATTAGAGAAACATGTTTTAAAACCTAATGACAGAAAGGATTGCATTCACCAGCAATAACTACTGAAGCCAAGCAAAGGGTATTTCAGGTGTACCCTTAACAAAATCTCAGTCTAAGTCTTAACATAACTACTAGATTAGGAAAAAAACGAGGCCACTGACCCAGAAAATCCAGTGAGAAAATGATTCTATGCTACAGTCTATCAYCTTAAAATGCCTCATAGAATAGCACAATGTGTAACCTGCCAGGTTGCTGAAACTGCTGAATAATGCTAGGTGTTCATTCTTCCAAGACGAATAAACTGATGCTGTTATAGTAAGAATGACTTACTAGTTTCACTTTCTCATTTACATGAGGGCTTCTCATTCTAGTCTGAGAGTCACACAAATTCAACGATTCAACATCTATAATCATAGTGAAAAGAAGTAAGGATTTGTTTTGGTTCTCCACTTACATAATAGACACCAAATCTCCCTTAATTTCTTTCTTTCAAATATAAGGTAAATACTCCCAAGGGGGGGGGATTTTAAAAATATTTATTATTTAGTTTTCGGTGGAAACAGCATCTTTATTTTATTTTTATGTGGTGCTGAGGCTCGAACCTGGGTCCCGCCTGTGCTAGGCAAGCGCTCTACTGCTGAGCCACAATCCCAGCCCCAGGAGTTACTTTGWTAATTGAAAAAGTGCTCCAGATATTGTCAGAACATGGTATTTACCACTGTACTGCAGAAAATCTTTTGAGCAAGTTATGGTTTATGCTATGAGCTGGTAATGCAATAGAAATGCTTGTGTAATTAATAGAAAAATGACTCAATACTTTAGTACCAGTTTTTCAGCTTCTCCCCCCCACCCCCATCATGTTATTTTAGGTTATAACTTGCAAACTAAAGTCTTTCTATGTTTCTACAATTTCTGTATAAAAAATTAATATAATAAATGAGAATTTCTTCTTCAGTTTTTGTTATTCATAACGTGATCCAATTTTCATCAGGCTTAACCACTGAAGTGAACCTGAAACGTGTACGTAGATATCTAGTTTATAACTTTTCTTTTTTGGGGTGGTTGTACTCGAGGCAAGTGTCTACCACTGAGCCATGAACGCTGCCCAGTTTTGGCACTTACTAAAATGCCCTCTAAATGCTTAAACAGAAATACACTTATGCAATATAAACTTTCTCAGGAGTGATCTTGGACACATACCCCCCCCTTTTTTAAACATTTATTTTTTAGTTGTAGATGGATGCAATACCGTTTTATTTTTATGTGGTACTGAGGATGGAACCCAGTGCCTCACACATGCTAGGCGAGAGCTCTACCCCTAAGCCACAACCCCAGCCCCAGTATTCAGGTTTATAAAATAGGCATAGCAGTGATATCTGTCACTTCCACTTGACATCAAATGAAGTAAGAATGGGTTCAGTGCCTCTCTATTAACTACTGAAATTACTATTCCATACATCTTATTTAGATAGTCCTAACACTAAATATTTTATTTACAAAAAGAGCAGTTTTATCATTTCTGATAATTACGATCTTAATCAATTCCTCCTGTTCCCTCAATACCCAGCAAGATTTGAAGTCAAGTTTGGTGGCTGGGGAAATTTTAAGTATACCGAGTAACAGCAAAAGGAGATTTTAATCTGTCCCCTCAGACTGTAGTTAGGAAATTCCTGGACAACGAATACACATAGGACCACCACCTAGACTGTATTCCAGACTCAAATGAGATCTAGTGGCAGACCAAAACATTCTTCTTAGCATTTTAAGTAAATATAAATTAAATGTACATCATAAAAACAAAAGTACCTAAGGTATGTCCTTCCTCTCATTCTAAATGAATAGATCTGTGGCCTTTAGTTCAAAGCAACATAAAATGTATATACTCAGTTAAAGCTTCTTTTAATAGAGATCTCATTACACAGAAGCATTTTAAAGCAACCAAACTTTATTTTTTTTCCATCAGCTTTATATGAAAAGTTTTGTTTTCAAGGACTGAAAGGACCAATGTTTACTGTTCTGAAGGTCAGTGTGTATACTCCAGCACATTTCTATAAGCTTCAAAGGGCAAAGGCAAAATTTTTAAATGCTAGAAAATGGGAGAGGGTTTCAAAATACCTATTATGACAAAAGAATTAAGTTCAGTATTCTTCAAAAGCAAACGGTGACTCTGACAGGGCAATGGAAAGGTCCTATTCTTAATTTCCTCATCATGACTTGGTTTTCTGAATTACCAATTTGAGAGTGGCCAAAGAATGCAAAACGACCTCAATCTTGTTCAGGAAATAGAAAACTGCAAACAATTCTATATAAAACAAATCTGAGGCTCTAGGACTGCACCTCTTAAGTCCTTTATAGCATGCATTTGAGGGTATACAGACTGTTAACAAGGTCAACACATACATGACAATCATATACTTAAAACCTCCTATACAGCACAATTTTTATAAAGAAAAAAAATCGCAATTCATCTATTTTACCCATATGGGTATTTGTCCTTGGGATTTGCTTAAAAGATCATACCCCAAACCTCTTCCCTACTTTGTAAATAGTGTTAGGAAGATGTGTCAAGCTGGATTTCCTTTTAAGCCTGTAGACYCAAATGGCCTTTGGACCAGAAGTAGATGGTAGATTTCTTTTTTTATTGGATTAGCTGTAGTTCCCTTTCCTCTTCTGCAGTGAGCACATATTACTTTTATAATTAAAAATACAAGAGGTGGCAAAAGGTAGATATGTGATCTGAACTTCAAGTTTTATTAGGCAATCTTTATTAGGAAAGCTGACATTCTGTTCATACCAATGGAATACATATTGAGTTTCCAGGTCAAAAGAGCACGAAGAGCAATAATTCACTTTATCTGGAAGTACGCTGTACACTAAGATATGTTCCTAGAGTTACAGATGAAAAATCAAATTCATTCACACACTTAGTGAACATCTGAACTTTATATTAACTTGTCTAACAGGCTGGGAATATAAATAAAATCTTCCCTTTCTTCAAAGGGGCAGTCTAGTTCAAACAAACCTTAATTTTTGTAGATGACAGAAACTAGTATGGTGATAAGGTGGAACTGATAAAGACGATGTGTGGATCTGAGTGGGAATTAAGAGGAATGTCTGGTTTGGGTCTCAATAGAAGTAGAGCACAYACAATGCCAATGTAAGGAAGCACACTACTGGTCAAAAAAGGAATAGTTTTTGAAAAGGYTTACAACAAAGTGATGCACCCAAGTGCTCTGTTCAGAGAATGAAACAGAACAACTTGATGAAAACTGAGAAAACATAGGAGATGAGGTTTTTGAAGCWGATCAAATGAGCCAGGGCAATTCAGAGGCCTTACATGCCATAAAGAACCCAGAGAATAATTCCAAACAGGGATAAATGATCCTTTTTTTTTGGGGGGGGGGGTACCAGGAATTGAACTCAGGAGCACTCAACCCCTGAGCCACATCCCCAGCCCTATTTCATATTTTATTTAGAGACAGGATCTCACTGAGTTGCTTAGTGCTTTGCTTTTTGCTGAGGCTGGCTCTGAATATGCTATCCTCCTGCCTCAGCTGTTGGGATTACAAGTGTGCACCACTGCACCTGGTCTGACACTTTGTTCTGAAGATTCTTCAGGAAAGAAGTGTATAGGAAAGCAAAGAGGAGGAGGACACTGCAGAGTATTTGGGTTCTCATTCCAAGAATCTAGTAGATGGTGATGAGAGACTGAACCCCAAGAAAGGTGCTAAAGCTGAGACAAATTTAAGATATTTAGTGGAACAGAGTTCTTGCTATGAATGGTGGAGTTTTGATGCAAGACCAGGAATGTAGAAGCAATGTTTGAATACAAATTAACATGTTTCTTATGGTACTAAAACACTGAGTCGGAGGGTCTGGAATACCTCAGTGGAAATGTGCGTAAGAAGCTGATTATGTGCATATCTAGAACTTAGAAGAGTAGAGTCACAGTATTATTATAGGCAAAAGAAACAAGGGAATAATAGATCAGACCTGACAAAACATTGTATTAGACACAGGAATTTCTAATGCAAGGGTTCAGGACAGACCTAAGAAGCCCTGAAAGTCAGTATTCAACGTTGACAAGAAGTCACTGGAGCTCAACTCTAAATAACAAAACTGCATACTTCCCATGATRATCAAAAAATGGTTATCGCACAATTAAAAAACAAAGGGGAGACACCACTGCTATTGTGTGGGGAAAAAAAGGGAAAAAGTATATGAAGAGACTAAAGGGGACGTGGGGGAAGTGGGAGATCACACTCATGGTTGGAGACCAATGGGGGCAATCGCAGTAGAATGTAAACAATGTATGCAAAAGGTACAACACTAAATAGGATGGTTTTCTGCCTAGGACTACAGTATACCTACTGGGGAGAAACACATAAAATGCTTACTACAAAAGGTCTCATTTAAATACTGTGGAGAGACCAACCGCATTAGCTGATGCAAAACTTAAGTAGAATATATGTATGTGTGTGTGTGTGTGTTTGTGTGTGTGTGTATATATATAAAGTACGGCTCTCCTACATGAAAAAGTGAGGGAAGAGGTTCAAGGAAGGTTAGGGAGGAAGGGCAGAGTGAACAAAGCAGTCTGTTCCTCCATATCTTCTCAGCCAATGACCTTGGCTTCCTTTCTACTGCAGCCACCACCTCTGGAAGGTAATGAAAGT